GTACCCCAAAGAACTGAAAACAAGTACTCATATAAATGCTTGCACATGAATGTTGACAGCAGTACTATTCACAATAGCCAAAAAGTGGAACCAACCAATGTCTTATGATTTCCTAAGTCTATCAAGAGATGAATAAATAAACAAACAAATTGTGGTATATTCATGTCATGGAATAGTAGTCAGCCACTTAAAATAGAAGGGGCACTGATCGTGTTACCATATGGATGAATCTCAAAAACATGCTAAGTGAAAGCAGGCAGACATAAGAGGTCACATGTTGTATGATTCTAGGTATATGACAGGTAAATCTGTAGAAACAGAAAACAGATTGGTGATTGCCAGGGGCAGGGTGTAGGGCAAAAGTCAGAAGTTAAGTAATTGCTTAATGGATACTGGGTTTATTTTGGGGTAATGAAAATGTTGTGGATCTTAATAGAAGTGGTGGTTGCACAATGCTGTAAGTATACTAAATGCTACTGAACTGTTCACTTTAAAATGATTAATTTTATGTGATTTCACCTCAGTTAAAAAAAATTGGATTAGAAAACAAAACAAATTCATGAATATCTCTTCAATGAATCTAAAACTTTTTTCCCTATCAGAAAGTATAAACCACTATCCAGAGTTGAAGTTGTCTTGCAGATGTTATTTTTTTGCCCATGGTGTTTAAACAGTCACCAGTATTTTAACAACTAGGCAACTTTTAACAACATCTGGATTTCAGGCTTTTCTTGAAAAAGTCTCCATGTGATAAAAATTTCTTATTGCCAAGAAGCAGCTGCTTCCTTGAGATGAAGCACATTACTGTGCAGTTTGCCACAGTTTCTTCCATTTTCTATTGTCAATTATTATCATGCTTGTCTTACTTATTATTTTAAAGGGGAATTAAGAATAAAAGTGGGTATCTCTTGTACTCATGTTCCCATTCAAAGAGGAAAAATAAATAAAAAGTCCGGTTGTTTACTCTTAGCCTGTTTTACTCACTTACATCTCTTCTTCGAACCCACGGTTATTTCAATTTGCAACTCCTGTTCTTTTTGGTATCATAAAATAATCCAAAAACTCTGCATAAATCTAGAATGAAGTTAATCAAGTATACCCTATATACTTGTCTGCATGAAAAACCAAAGTTAGGCAGGTGCAAATAAATGTCCAAATAATTTTGTTAGTCAAGGTTAAACAGATTGGGATTGAAGGCAAAGCAAAATCCATGTTTGGTCACTTGTATCTGCTTTCCCTACTATAGCACCAGTATTAAAATGGAGTTGGTGGGGGGTATCAGCTCGGGCTTACTAACAGGGAAAACAGAAATTTAAAGATAATACATTGGATAATATTCGTATTTTGTTAAGTACTCCTCTTTAGCGTATACTGTGCAGGTTCCTATGAAAAACATATGGAAATAGGGGTAATGTGGCACTTTTTTCCCCACAGAACCTTGGATTTTTTTCAGTAGCTCAGCCTTGAAGACATATATAAAGGTCTTTGTTGCAGGGTGTGCAGTGTGGTGAATAAGAAAGAAATGTAATTTCTGAGAATTCTATCAGGCACAGTCTAATAAACATTAAATAATTTATCTCATTTCATCACCAACAGGTGTTAGCCCCATTTTAGAGTGCTGGAGAGGACAAGGACGCAAAAGGAGGCCACGTGGAGGCTATAGCCTAAGTCTTTTGGCTTCGTCTACCTTTCTGTCTAAAACAAGTCTTCAGCTTCAAAGATTTTAAACCCTACCACTTGTTTTCTCAGAGCCACAGTGTAATGTGGTTTCTAATGAGGGATAACATCTCTTATCTGGGTGGATATGGAAGTTGGTTATGTCTGACAGGTGAAGGCCAAGTGAGACCACTGTTGTTGTAGCTGGCATTGCCTTCTCCCATTCCTATGCCAATGTGGGAAGCCATGATTCCTTCCCTGGAGACACAGCCTCAGTGCCTGCTCCAAACACACTAGAAACTGAGTTCCGTGAGGGTATAGGCTTTAGTTTATCCACCTTAGATATAGAAACCACATGCAGCATAGCAACTGGCACTTAACACATTTTTATTAAATGAATGATGTTATCATCTAAAGGGAACAGCAGAAAGCATAAGGGAACCCATTTAGCCTGGTCATATAGAGAATGCTGGATACAGGTTTGATAACTCTGTGAACAGATGTGAACAGGTTCTTCCATGGCTACAAATATTACATTGCTTTCCTCTTAGCTCTATGATCTATGAGATCTCTCAATGGTTATAAATGTGATACTGAAAATGAAATATAAATAGAAAAGGATAGTTGAAAGACATGAAGTAAGAGAATCCTGAGAATGCAATCTAGTCTAAACAGAGTCTCTGCTGATTGAGCTTGGTAACTTCTAAGCCTATTATGCCAGGCTGCCCAGCGAACTAAAATAACAATGACTGAATTTCTTTTTTTTTTTTTTTTTGTTTAAGATGGGGTTTCACCATGATGGCCAGGCTGGTCTTGAACTCCTGACCTCAGGTGATCCACCCACCTCGGCCTCCCAAGTGTCAGGATTACAGGCGTGAGCCACTGCGCCCGTACCTGAATTTCTTTATTAGACCAAAAAGAGAAACCATGACATTTACTGCTACAATGGAAATTATTTTTATTCTTAAAAATTCATGGATATCTTTTTGTAATATTATAATTAAAATAAAAAGCTCTATCAACATGAAGGCCAGGACATGAAAAGATGTTTAAGATCTATTAAAGTGGGAAAAAAACCCAAATTGCAAAAAACACAGCTTGATTTTGGTTTTTGCTTTAAAAATGTTTTACATGTACACAGAAAATATCTGGGGGCTGGGGACAGTGGCTCACTCCTGTAATCCCAGCACTTTGGGAAGCCAAGGTGGGCAGATCACCTGAATTCAGGAGTTCAAGACCAGCCTGGCCAACATGGTGAAACCTCACCTTTACTAAAAATACAAAATTTGTCCAGGTGAGGTGGCAGGCACCTGTAATCTCAGCTACTTGGCAGGCTGAGGTGGGAGAATCATTTGAACCTGGGATGTGGAGGTTTCAGTGAGCCGAAATTGCGCCATTGCACTCCAGCCTGGGGTGAGAAGAGTGAAACTCCGTCTCAAAAAAAAAAAAAAGAAAAGAAAATATCTGTAAGAATATAATCTAAATTGTTAATAGTAATTACCTCTTGGGGGTAAAATCATGATAAAATCATGATAAAAGTTTACTCTCTCTTTAGATTATGGGAAAGGCACTTTCTACAATTTATATTTTTGTAATGTTTGAATTTGTTTTAAAAATGAACTTGTATTATCTTTGTAATCAGAAAAGAAATTTAAAAATAAAATGAAACGAAAATAATTTGTCTCCTAAAAATACCTTTATCAAAAAAAGAGGTAAAAGAGAAATAATATTTAGTAACCTAAAATAGGGTTGTGAAACCAGGTTCTCTGGAACACTGAGGCTCCTCAGAGGTTCTTTGAGAGCTAGCACGAGACAGCGTGTCCCCACTCAAACTCCTAAAGCTTGAGCATCCGACTCTCAGTAGTTTAATACCAAAGTTCCGCTGTTAGTAAGTTTGAAATTTTCTGTTTTAAAATAATGTAAATAATTTATTTCTGGGCCAGGCATGGTGGCTCATGGCTATAATCCCAGCATTTTGGGAGGCCAAGGCGGGCAGATCACCTTAGACAGGGAGTTCGAGACCAGCTTGAGCAACACAGAGAAATCCCATCTCTACTAAAAATACAAAATTAGCTGGGTGGTGTAGTGGCACATGCCTGTAATCCCAGCTACTCAGGAGGCCGAACCCAGGAGGTGGAAGTTGTGGTGAGCCGAGATTGAGCCACTGCACTCTAGCCTGGTAACAAGAGCGAGACTCCATCTCAAAATAATAATAATAATAATAATAATAATAATAATAATTCATTTCTGAATGTTTCTCAAAGCACTTGCTGGGGTTTGAATAGGTTCCCCGGGAATAGAGATGTGTTCTTGTATTTCCTAAGCACAGATTTTGATACCTGAGGGCTTCTTGAGCGCAAGGTCTGCTGTATTTGTGAGCTGCCTGAGTTTAAGGCCTAGTGCTCTATGCATAGGTTCCTCTGCTCAAGGAGACTAAGGCAGAAGGCAGCTCTTTCATTCCCCATCATGGGAACAGCCTCTCTGAATTATGGTCTGCCATCCAGAAGCAGAAGATTCAGGATCACCACAGACTATTTTCAGATAAATGAGAAGTCAAGCCTGAACAATTAGAGATAGGTTGATGACTTTTTAAAGCAACTTTCTTGAGACAGAATGCCTTTTTTTGCCAAATTCTTCTTTCTCATCACTAGTCGTTTTTTTCAAATAGGATACAATGACTGCCTATCCTTTTTGCTGTTTTCAGAGATCTTTCTGCTACAGAAACTTCGAGTGTTTTTGCGGGTTACTTGTATGCCTCTAGTCTCGTTTTTAAAGATAAAATCTGACTTCAGGAAATATAAATGAAATGTTTCAGTATTTGAGCTAAAATGTCTGCATCTTCTAAAGTTAAAAGAATGCTTTTTGGAAATTTTAATTTTTTTTGTTTGGCTCTCCATTATCTGTAACAATCAAAGAAAAGTCTTTGAAATGAAATTCCTTTCCCTGTTTTGTTTACTCTTCCTGACTTTCACAGTCATATCTTCATCTGGATTCTTATTGGGCCGAAACTAACATGGCGTTTTCTGTTTACTACCTCATCTGTGCTTCCTGACTGAGGGCAGCAGAGACTGTCTGTGAATTTTCACAGCAAAACCAGCAGGGGGAGCTCACTCACACAGGAATCTGAGCCTATCTACGAGGGGATGGTGGGAAAGGCAACCCAACTTTCTTCAGTAAAAATGACCCTTCTGCACGTGGATGAATTATCGCACGATAAGCGACACGTTACTGATAACGGTGGTGAGATGAAGAGCCCTTGAGAAAATGTATTTAGAGACAGCCCAGCAGCCATATGCCTCAATGGCAAGGCTACCGCCCAGAGCAGGTACATACTCTGCCTGTACCTGTTTTTCAAGACTTGGCTTGCTAAGCTGTACAGTTTGAGGTCCAGCGAGTCTGGTCCCTGGAGTAGCTATCACAATGCTGGTGAGCTGGGCCATGGGAAACGTTTTGGCTATGGTTGCAGTCTGCCCATTGACGACACGGACGGGGTGGATGGAATTCTGGGATGTGGGAAGGGTTGTGGGGGTGAACTTGGTCAGCATGACAGGCCTCTGGATAAGCTGAGGAGCTGCGAGCATGGGAGGTGGTGCTGGGGCAATAGGAATGTTATTCTGGGCCACAGGCTTGGGTCGAACCTATAGGGGAAAGAGAGAATAATTATTGTATTACTTAAGCTGCTCAAGTCCTATAAAAGCGTATCTTCCACACTCTATGTATGACATGGTATTTAATATACTTATTAATGTTCATTTTGGTATATTAATTCTATAGATCTCAGAGCATTTAACCTTATACAAGACTCACCAGCTCTTGAGGTCCAAACCTCAGCCCTAGAACACAGCTTTTGATTCTAAATCCTGAGCTCTGTCTTCTACACCATGCCACCTCTCCTGGCTGAGGTCAATGGCCAATCCAGAGACTGGTCCCACCCAGAACTTGTACCCAGTATAGTAATAATGTTGCCTTAACTCACATTTGAAATTTCTTCATATCCACAGCTTCAGCTTACCCCCATTTCTGGCCCTCTAACTCCCTTTTCTTGGCCACTCCTCTCAGTCTCTTGTGGGCTTACTCTTCCTCGGCCTCATCCTAAATGTGAGTTATTTCTTAGGATATTTTTTCCGGGGAACCCGTTTTCTTCCCAATGTTCTCATTATTCCTAGGAGCTCTCACCCATCTCATGGCTTCAATTAGCATCTACGTACTGAAGATTTTCACACTTTTATCTCAGAATCTGAGACATTTTTTGAACTTCAGAATTATATTCAACTTGAATACATGTCTAAGACTCATTAATTTCTTCTTCCAATCATCTCTTCTTCCTATAATTGCCTCAGTAAATGCCCTTTTCTTGATAAACTTCAGAATCATTCTTGATTCCTATTCTATCCTCTACTCTCTAAATACTTCTCAAATCTGTCTCTTTCTTTCTTTCTTTTTTTTTTTTTTTTTTGAGACGGAGTTTCGCTCTTGTTACCCAGGCTGGAGTGCAATGGCGCGATCTCGGCTCACTGCAACCTCCGCCTCCTGGTTTCAGGCAATTCTCCTGCCTCAGCCTCCCGAGTAGCTGGGATTACAGGCATGTGCCACCATGCCCAGCTAATTTTTTGTATTTTTAGTAGAGACGGGGTTTCACCATGTTGACCAGGATGGTCTCGATCTCTCGACCTCGTGATCCACCCACCTCGGCCTCCCAAAGGCTTGTGAACCACTGCGCCCGGCCCTGTCTATTTCTTTCTATCCTCACTCCACTATCTACTATCCTAGCTTATATTTGGCTTACTAAAAACAATGATTAAAAAGTTGCAGTTAAAAACATGAGGTCAGCCTTGCTGTTAAAAACATGAGGTCAGAGGGCCGAGGTCAGGGTTCAGATCCTGGTTCTACCACTCACTAGCTGTGTAACCTCAGGCAACGTACCTGATCTTTAAGACAGTATTTTTTATTTTATTTTATTTTATTTTTAGACGGAGTCTCCCTCTGTCACCAGGCTGGAGTGCAGTGGTGCAATCTCGGCTCAATGCAACCTCCATGTCTTGGGTTCAAGTGATTCCCCTGCCTCAGCCTCCCAAGTAGCTAGGACCACAGGTGTGCGCCACCATGCCCAGCTAATTTTTGTATTTTTAGTAGAGACAGGGTTTCACCATGTTGGCCAGGATGGTCTTGATCTCCTGACCTTGTCAATCTGCCTGCCTCGGCCTCCCAAAGTGCTGGGATTATAGGTGTGAGCCACTGCAGTCTGGCCACTAAGGCAGTATTTTTCAAACTTTTAAAACTGTGACCCTGTGGGCAAAACCCTTTCCCCTTATGCATGAGGTCTGATCTTCAATTAACTCTTTAGCTCTGCTCTCCTGGAAACCTGCTCTAAGGGTAAGAATGTCAACCATATTACCAGGAAACACTGCTTATGATAAAAACGACCCCTCACTGGCCAGACACAGTGGCTCATGCCTGTAATCCCAACATTTTGGGAAGCTGAGGCTGGTGGATCACTCGAGTCCAGGAGTTTGCGACCAGTCTGGCCAACATAGTGAAATCCTGTCTCTACTAAAAATACAAAAATTAGCCAGGCATGGTGGCTTGTAATCCCAGCTACTTGAGAGGCTGAAACAGGAGGTTAGCTTGAACCCGGGAGGTGGAGGGAGGTTGCAGTGATCTGCGATAGCGCCACTGCATTCCAGCCTGGGTGATAGAGTGAGACCTGTCTCAAAGAAAAAAAAAAATCCCTTACTGCTAAATCAAATCTGAATGGGCTTGAGGGGACACTATGATTCGGCTTCCCTAAGTGGGGTGTCTCTCATAACCTGAGCACATCACATCCATTGTGGGGACCCTTGAAAGCTACGCCCATGTAGTTGACACAAGATATACTTGGTCTTGTGGGCATGAGGCTTCTATGCCAAGTTGGCTTTCCCACTATCCTAAAGAAGGAGCTTATTTCCTTACACCTGAGCTATCCTTGGACAGCTGTAGGGACAACTGTGTGGACTCACATTGAAGACAAATGTCTGGTGCTATCTTGCTGACAAGCTGTGGTTTCTGTCCTATATCATTCCAAGTAGACTGGTGCCAAGTGTGGCCCATGAAACTCTTGTCGGTATGAATGTCTGGCTGAACTTAAAATGACCCTGTGGTGGGTGCCACTAACAGTAAGAAATATATTTTACTCTGTAATTAGTATGCACCTATAGACATGTATTTCCAAAAACAAAAACTTCCTGAAATGGGGGAACACGGTATGTCCTATGTACTCTTAATAGCTCCTGCTCTATTCTTTTCATTTTATTTAAACACCCTGGTTAGAAAAACATGGACTAAACCTTAGATTCCTTACCTTAAAAAGAGTAATACCTATTTGCACAGGGTTGTTGTAACAATTAAAATAGACACCCCATGTAAAGCACCTAGTATAGTACCTAGTACGTAGCAAGATTCTCTAAACATTGGTTATTATCATTACTGACAATGTCCTAACTCTTCTTGCTGCCCACAGTCTTGATCATTCCCCATTTATTCTCTGCACAGAGGCAAGAGGGAATTTTCTAAACCATAAATCTGACCACATCAAGTACTTGCTTGAAAACGCTTTAGTGAATGTCCGCTCCTCCTAGGATAAGACCCAGATTCCTACATAGCCTACAAGGTTCCACCAGCTCTGGCCCTAGTGGACTTCTCCAGCCTCGACTCTAACTAGCTCTAGCCTGCATGAGCCACATGGCCTTCTGTGCATAGCAAACCTCCTTAGGTTCTTTAAACTTAATACATGATCTATCCTGGACCTACATATATGTTCCATCCTTTGCCTGGAACATTTTTTTTTTTTTTTTTTTAGACGGAATCTCGCTCTGTCACCCAGGCTGGAGTGCAGTGGCACAATCTCGGCTCACTGCAACCTCTGCCCCTTGCTGGGTTAAAGCGATTCTCCTGCCACAGCCTCCCAAGTAGCTGGGATTACAGGCACATGCCAGCATGGCCCAGCTAATTTTTTTATTTTAGTAGAGATGGGGTTTCACCATGTTGGCCAGGCTGGTCTCAAACTCCTGACCTCATGATCTACCTGCCTTGGCCTTCCAAAATGCTGGGATTATAGGTGTGAGCCACCGTACCCAGCCTGTCTAGGACATTTTTATTCTTCTTCCAAAGTTTTAGCAGGCTAATTCAACTAGGATTTTAGGTCATACTGAACGTCAACTCATCAAAGAAAGCTTGAAGAAACCTTCTTTAATACTCTTAAAAATAGGCAATCAGGCCGGGTGCGGTGGCTCACGCCTATAATCCTAGCACTTTGGGAGGCCAAGGCGGGTGGATCACCTGAGGTCAGGGGTTTGATAACAGCCTAGCCAACATGGCGAAACCCTGTTTCTGCTAAAAATACAAAATTAGCCAGGCATGGTGGTGCACACCTATAATCCCAGCTCCTCAGGAGACTGAGGAAAGAATCACTTGAACCCGGGAAGTGGAGGTTGCAGTGAGCCAAGATCATGCCCCTGCACTCCAGCCTGCATAACAGGAGTAAGAGTCCATTTCAAAAAAAAAAAAAAAAAAAAAAGAAATAATAGGCAGATATCTCTCTCATGGGCTCTCAGACTGCCCTCTACTTCCCATATTGGGCACAGTAATTGGCTGTGCATGTGCCTGAAGCACTCTGAGGGCAGAGAACTGTCTGTCTTGAAAACCGGCAATATCCACAGTGCTTAGGACAATGTTTGCTACCCAAGGTATTTATTAAGGATTTATCTGATATATAACTGAAATTATCTTATCTCATACTAGCAGTACCCATCCTCTCTCCAGAGGCTATTTGGAAATCATTTACACCACTGACCACAAAACTCCTTCTTTTCTCTTTGTCTGAAAACTAGGGCCTCAGATAGGAAATCTCAGACTTTCTACAAAGCAAGTCAACACTCCTCGAGGTCCAGAAGGGGGAAATCTTGACATTTTGCCTTGAGAATGGTGAAAGTTAGCCTAATTGCTGGAAGAACACTCTCAGGAGAATATGGTCATACAGAGGTGCTCGGGCCTAGGGAGAAAGTCCCCTGTACAGACCCCTAACCTAAGCCTTTAGAAGCAAGACGTTGCCTTTAAGCATGATGTTCAAAACCATCACTTTCCAGGGTAGAACTGAATGGTTTCTACTAGTTGGTTTAGCTGTTGTTTCCTTCCCTACTCTTTTTGGCATGCAGGAAAGAAATAAGAAGTGTTAATTGCTTTCTTTCCCCACTGCCAGGCAGACTTTGGCTAAATTCTTCTAGTAAGTTTAAGGTTTATAATGGTTTTAATTACTTTAAATTTAGAAAATGTTCCTTTTCCTTTACTTCCCCTTACTACTGCCTTTGGTCATTGCTAATAAACATGATGACAAAATAAGCTTCTTCATGGTACAGAAATCAGCAGTCAGAATTTTTAGCTAAGTGGAATAGACAGCCGGGCTGACAAGCCCCGTTACAGGATACTTAGAGGAAGAGCCCTTGAGGATTTTTGTCCCATCTAACCTATCAATGGGCTTGTTATTATTTTACTCACCTGTGGAAGAAAGTTTGGACGTGGAGTGAGTCTAGGAGGGGGGATAAACTGTGGTACTTTGATGGGCTGAGGAGGTGTTGCCTGAACCTGCTAAAAAATGAGGAAGATAAATAAGCCAGAGAAAACAATCACTCTTCAAACTCAAAGCTAGTATTTTTAGCATCACTCTTCTTTGGATCAGACAATATTTTCTACAAGCTTTCATCGTAAGTTAATCATCTGAATTAACACTGCATTAGGAAACTTTTTCACTTTCCCACCTGCGTGCTTTACCCTATAAAGTGAACCAACCACACTTCTGTTTCCTCCCACATCTAATGTAGAACATAGCAGGCTCAGTAAATCTTAGACAATTTCCTTTGACACTCAAGAACTTTTGCATTTACATATTTTAAAAGTCAAGACTGGATCCAAAGTAAAATCAAACTTTCTACTTAGCCAAATAGGCTTTTTCCTGATAGAGCTTTATCTAACAGTGAATAGAAAATTTTCCAAGTCTCAGTATCTGGCTGAATGATCTGGTTGCTGCTCTAAGGATCCTGGGTAAGTGGTGAAGCTTCACTTTGTTGCTCTCTAGTTTCACTCACCACTGGTATCATTCAAAAGCCATCAAGAGCTCTTAGGTGCCATTTTAAGGGAATTTTATATCAAAATTTAGATCTATTTCTCCCAAGCTTCTGAGAATATCAGTTTTCTAAATGGCTTGATCGTAGAACTCTCGTGAAAATTCTTGTTCAGGTACTTCCTCCTTAAAGGGATTATTTTTTCCCCTGACAATACTGGGCACTGACACTGTTAATTTGTGAGTTTCCTGAATATTTTTAAAGTGCCCCAACTAACTAACCAGTACTTTCTAGGTACAATCAATTTAAACGGATATTAAACTAAAAGAATTATCAGAGAGTTTTCACCAAGGCAGTAATACAGCACAAGAGAGTTTAAGCACTCAAGTTTCACAGGAAATTACTGTAGACAGGGTGAAGGCAGAGGGAGAGAGAAATTAAACAGTGTGTATACCTCTGTGAAGGAGACCTTCCCCATAAAATCAAGTCATACTTTGACCTCAGATAATGCACTGAGTTTGGTCCTTGGTGTCAGGACACTTCTGTAGTGATTTGAGCAGATCTCAGAAATGCCATTTTCCTTTCTCGGCCCTAAAGGGGAATTTAGTATGCTAGAAGAATGACGGAAACTGAGAAATCCAGCAGGAGTCTAAGAAGGATTTACTATACAAATGCATATCCTAACCTTCTCATGTGATCACACATGAGGAGCAGCTGCTGGCTTACCAGAGTGACTGTGTTTTTTGCCACAATTTGGACAGCCTCTGCCCCAGGCCCAGTGACCTTACTAGACGTCTGGAGGTTGACTGGTGTGTTCTGCACATCAGTGCTGAGCACAGCTTTCTGACTGTTGATGGCGGTCACCATAGCAATGGTAGGTCTCTGGCCCACCACAGAGGCAGGCATGGTCGCAGTTGCTGCTTTCAAGACGAGAGGTAGTGTCTTTGTGGTAATCATAGAAGCTGTAGTTACAGTCTTCTAGGAGACAGGGAAAACAGGTATTAGGACTAAATCTAAACTAAATAATAAACTAAATCCCACTAAACAATATGCTGCTAAACCTTAGAAGTAAACAAAACAATAATTCCCATAATCAAGTTTCTCTGTAGAACAACATTTCTTTTGTGTACGTAGAGCACACTCCTTACAACAGGGAAAGACAATCTCTAGTTTTCAAGAATTCTCATATTGGTGTCACTTGTACGTGGATAAGTTCATAGTAGCAACTGCAGACACAGGGTTTTCAACAATGAATGGGGTAGGTGTACAGATACAGAATGTGAGTGTACTTACTTGTTTTAGTTTTTTAAATTCTTTGCTTGCTCTCAATTAATTTAAACTTTATATTAGTTGCAAATTAATGAGGTACATATCATCTCTATCCTAACTGCTACCACCTCACTAATATGAAGAAAGCCACCATATAATTCTGGATATCTGTTTCCTGAGACACAGATATCCAGAAGGCTGGGGTAAAAAGACAGTGCCTTTTTTTTCTTTCTTTCTTTTCTTTCTTTCTTTTTTTTTTTCTTTTAGTAGTGTCACCCTGAAGAGAAAGAAGGGAAACTCACAGGAGGATTAGCATGTTACCTCAGTGGCAGCTACCTCAGAGGCAATGAATCCCAAGCTCCAGATAATGAAACATATTAACCAACTAGTATATAGTAAATACCAGTTTTGATACCATAGGGATATTATGAGTTACTACCTATAATCTTTTCTCTGGAGAACTGCTGCAGAAGTGATCAAAGATGCAATGAAACATGACAAGGTGGAAACAAACATCTGAGTTTCAAAAGCCTTGGAGATCAGAGGGTGAACCGAGGTAAGAGGACTTGACTGATGCTCCTTAGTGCTACTGCAGCTTTGAAGCTGTACTTTTCTAGACTTTTTACTAGAATAATTAAAGGAATCAGTTAAAAAACAAAAAAATATATAAACACATTCATTGCATGGCCTACACATCTATCTGGAGATAGATATTTCAGGAATATGAAATTTTATCTGGTCAAGCTCACTGGTTCTGAATTTTGACACTACTCCACCTTTACTATATATTTGCACTGCCTGATTTGGCAGCTACTAGCCACAAGTTGCTATTTAAACTTAAGTTAATTGGCTGGGCTCGGTGGCTCACACCTGTAATCCCAGCACTCTGAGAGGCCGTGGTGGGCAGATGACCTGAGGTCAGGAGTTTGAGATCAGCCTGGCCACCATGACAAAACCCTATCTCTACTAAAAATACAAAAATTAGCTGGGCGTGGTGGCAGGCACCTGTAATCCCAGCTACTCAGGAGGCTGAGGCAGAGGTTGCAGTTAGCCTAGATTGCACCATCGCACTCCAGCCTGGGCAACAAGAACGAGACTTCATCTGAAAAAAAAAAAAAAAAAAAAAAAAAAAAACCCCAAAATTAGCACGGCATGGTGGTAGGCACCCATATTTCCAGCTACTTGGGAGGCTGAGACAGATGAATCACTTGAATCCAGGAGGCAGAGATTGCAGTGAGCCGAGATTGCACCACTGCACTCCAGCCTGGGCAAGAGCCAGACTCCGTTTCAAAAAAAAAAAAAAAAAAAAAAATTGAAAAGTAAATTAATTACAAAAAAACAAAACAAAAAATCACCTCCTGAGTTGCAACACTTCAAATGTCCAAAGTCGTATGTGGTTAATGGTGACCAAATTGGACAGTGGAGATAGCATTTCGAACACCACAGGAAGTTCTATCACTGTGCAGGACCAGTGAAAAGTATCTCCATTCTCCCAGAAACATATCTGGACAACTTCCCTTATTTCTGTTTCAGTGTCTATGATCTTCTACTTTGGGGTATTAAGTTGTTTGCTTCTACGTAGTTTTTTATCTCAATTTTTCTGTCTTAAACGTAGAAAAGGTATATATCATCTCTGTCCTAACTGCTACAACCTCACCGACAGGAAGAAAGCCATACACACATGTTATCTAATCTTTTAAGATCATCATCTAAATCTTTGTTTCCTCTTCTCCAAGACAACAACATAGGAGTGGCTTATTCTCTTTGCCACTGCCCTCTTAAATGTGAAATGAAAGGGGGAACACTGACATTTATTTTAGGATGCAGTGGATCATCTATCTTCTATCAGTGATGAAAACCAAATAAAAGCCAAATGCTGTTTATCATTAGAAATTATATATTAATAGTAGTATAATAGCAAGGACTGCCTGTATTACTAGCAATTTGTAGTAAGTGTTTTTACCACAGTGTATTAGCTTTAGTTCTCAATTTTATTCTTTTCTTTTTTAATTTATTTTATTTTATTTTTTTAAAGATAGGGTTTCACCATGATGGCCAGGCTGGTCTTGAATTCCTGACCTCAGGTGATCCACCCACCTCAGCCTCCCAAAGTGCTAGGATTACAGGCGTGAGCCACCATGCCCGCAGTTTTCAATTTTAAACCTGTCAACATAAAGAACTTTTGAAGTGGTGATCCAGTCACACCAGATGGCGTTGAATCCAGTGCTACCATGGATTGTGGGAGTAAAGCTCTAGTCAGAAGAACTCACCGACATGGATTTTAAAGACGTATGTTGTAATTGCTTTAAAAGAAGTCAATGTACTTTTGTTTCAAGTAAATCATCAAAATTTTGAATAACTCTAAACTGATTATTCTACAAAATACTGACTAAAGCCTCAAGCTCACTTGAGTTATATACTTACCAAGTGAGTTATATACTCACTTGAGTTATATACTAACCAAACACTTTAAAAACACTGAAACCTAGTAAGTTTGTTCACATCTTAGGTTAGCAGTTTTCTTTTACAACTATGGTTATGGCTTATTTCACTACATGATTTCCAGTACCTATATAACTGTTTATAGTTAGGCAGAAGACCCAGTACTGTATGCTTCAGTGAAAACTTTTTGAAGAATGTATTTACCATTTACTGACACCAAGACACAGGAAGTGCTTAGATCTTTACCCCTAGTCTGGTGCTTCTTCTGTTCCTAATATTAGGGAACACAAACCAAACTTCTGGGGTGTTATAGTTCAGATGACAAAGGGAATTTAGAACTTTGAAATAAGTCTAATGAAAATGTCTGAACTGTTCTAAAAGGAGAAAGAGGAGACATAGAGAAGAAAGGTGTCCAACAACAAATTATCATTCTTATTTATTTATTTATTTATTTTTGAGATAGGTCTCGCTCTGTCACCCAGGCTAGAGTGCAGTGGCGCAATCACAGCTCACTGCAGTCTTGACCTCCTGGGTTCAAGTAATCCTCCCACCTCAGTCTCCTGAGTAGCTGGGACTACAGGTGGGTGCTACCACACCTGTAATTTTTTTTGATTTTTAGTAGAGACGTGGCCTCATTATGTTGCCCAGGCTGGTCTAGAACTCCTGGCCTCAGGTAATTCTCCCGCCTTGGCCTCCCAAAGTGTTGGAATTACAGGCATGTGCCATCACATCCAGCCAAGAGATTTATTTTTATGAAAGTTGTGATTTGTTTTTAGCTAGTTAACAGTGGCTAAGTATGATTACCTTGTAGAGAAGGTAGCTGTTTTTCCACAGTTTCATGAAGGGGTTCTTTATTTTGACAAAACCCAAATTGCATGAGCTAGAAGTTAATGCAGAAATGCACGGCACAGCCAACAGTGCTAACAGCAAAATCCCTTTTACTTATGTATTTGCTCTTGTTGTTTACCTGCCAAGTATGAAGTATTGATTTAGAATAGATGGACTCAGGCTGGACACAGTAGGTCATGCCTGTAATCCCAGCACTTTGGTAGGCCAAGGTGGGTGGATCACTTAAGCCTAGGAGTTTGAGACCAGTTGACAATATAGTGAAACTCCGCCTCTACAAAGAATATAAAAATTAGCTGGGCATGGTGACACACACCCATAGTCCCAGCTACTTGAGAGGCTTGAGGTGGGAGGATCACCTAAGCCTGGGATGTCAAGGCTGAGATGAGCTGTAATTGGACCATTGCACTCCAGCCTAGGTAATACAGTGAGACTCTGTCTCAAAGAAAAGACATAATGTAAAACAGATGAAATCCAAATCAGAATTTAAGGGATTATTACTATGGAATCTAACTAACTTCCACATCTATTTTAGATTATTTTGCTTGTTTAATTTTGAATGCAGTCACTGCTGTATACTCAAACAACCACAAAAAGAACCCCTCTCCCTTTTTTGTTTACAAAGGTTTATTTTCTATTTGGTTTTATTAACTGCTCTCTTCTATACATTTGCATTATGCCGTTAAAAATGAGAGGGCTGTGAATACAGGTTGGAGAGTATACCTGAATTTAACTGTTCTGTTCTTTCACTTTTTCTGTAGATTGGAAAACTTTCAAAATATATATACAAGTATGAGTTGCTGTTAACTAAGTAAGGCACTGTCCCCATTCCTCCTTCCAAAAAGAATTCCTCATTGCTTCCTCTATGCCTTGGTATATGCCAATCACCCAGCTTAGAATAAAAAGCTTACTGATTGCTACTTAATATTTAATTCTTTCTGAAACTGTGCATTTAATATATGCCATAGGTAACCTCCCATTTGTCCTTGCCCTAACTTCCCTATGACTGTTAAGAAACCCAGAAGTTTTGGCATGCTTTGGAGGGTTGGCCTTATCTCCTCTCCATCGTTTCATGGATCCTACATTCCAACCACACCAGCCTACTTGCGATTCCCAGGACATGTATTTACCTTTTTGACTCCATCCTTTTGTTCACAGTGTTCTCCACACCTGTGAAACTCTTTCCCCTTTGCTCTATCACTAAAATTCCATTCATCTGTCAGGGCCCTGCTCAGATGCACCTTGAAAAGTACTTTCTGATCCCTCTAGTCAAAATTACTGTGTCCTCAAACTTCCTCTACATCTTCATTTTTTTAAATTCTTGAAAACAAACTCTCTAATTTGTGCATTTAGCCTCCACATTACCTAAAACAGTGCTTGCATACAGTAGGAACTTCATAAATATTTATAGAACAAATAAAAATCACTAATCACGACATACCGGATTTTTGGCAGGGACCACTGCTCTTTGTATATCAGAATCGAGCACATAGAGTATGTTCAGTGAACAGATTGGTACTGCCAGGCACAGTGGCTCATATCTTTAATCCCAGCACTGTGGGAGACCAAGGTAGGTGAATCAATTGAACTCAGGAGTTTGAGATGGGGAAACACGGTGAAACCCTGTTTCTACAAAAAATACAAAAATTAGCTGGGCATGGTGGCCTGTGCCTGTAGTCCCAGCTATCTGGGAGGCTGAGGTGGGAGGATGGCTTGAGGCAGGGGTTTCAGTGAACTGAGATTGTACTGCTACACTCCAGCCTAGAAGAAAGAGCCAGATCCTGTCTCCAAAAAAAAAAAAAAAAGATCAGATTGGTAGTTTACTATAAACTCAAAACCCAAAAGCTTAGAGGATCCTTTTGGTTTTTAACATTAAACATCTGCATCAAATAAAACAATTTTTTTTTTTTTTTTTTTGAGGCGGAGTTTCACTCTTGTTACCCAGGCTAGAGTGCAATGGCGCGATCTCGGCTCACCGCAACCTCCGCCTCCTGGGTTCAGGCAATTCTCCTGCCTCAACCTCCTGAGTAGCTGGGATTACAGGCACACGCCACCATGCCCAGCTAATTTTTTGTATTTTTAGTAGAGACGGGGTTTCACCATGTTGACCAGGATGGTCTCGATCTCTTGACCTCGTGATCCACCCGCCTCAGCCTCCCAAAGTGCTGGGATTACAGGCTTGAGCCACCGTGCCCGGTCAATAAAAGAATATTTTTAAAAGGTTGGCAAAATCAATTAAATATATCAGGTGGGCTACTGGATGGAGAGGCGCCCTTAGGTGCTACACAACACTGTTTTTGAGGTAACCCTAGACCTCTCACCATCCACCATCCCAAAGCAACACAGACTACCAGGGAAAGGAAAAGCTATTACAAGTATTTTGGAACTGCTTCCTTTGATTTTTTTTTTTTTGAGATGGAGTCTCACTCTGTCGCCCAGCATGGAGTGCAGTGACATGATCTTGATTCACTGCAACTTCTGTCACCCAAGTTCAAGTGATTCTCATGCCTCAGCCTCCTGTGGAGCTGGGATTACAGGTGTAGGTTACCACGCCTAGATAATTTTTGTATTTTTAGTAGAGATGGAGTTTTGCCATGTTGGCCAGGCTGGTCTCAAACTCCTATGGGTCTCAAATCCCATAGTGTTCGGATTACAGGTATGAGCCACCGTGCCCAGCCTTCTTTGATTTTGATAACATAAAATGTTACTTACACAGAATGTTTCCATGGGTTACGACAGAAAACTCCTGTGTAACAGGAAACAATGAATTCTACCACACTCCTTTCAGGTGAACATTTTCTGATCAAACTGTACTTTGGAAAGAGAACAACCTAACCCAATTCTGTTTAAAACTTAAACAAAAATTATCCTCTAAGCATTCTTTCAGAACGAATACAAGGGGATTTTTAAAGTCAGTTTTGAATGCCTAATTTCCAAATAGCCTTGGGGTGGTGATTAAGATAAAAATTATGTAGGCTGTCCTAGTGATCTGATTTATAACAGGGATTTTTCTTTTTCCTTCTTTGGTTTTATGCAGTATTGGCATTGCTTTTTTTTGGATTGTATCGCAGTAGAGAAGAGTAGTTGAATGGACATATTTTTCAGCCAAAACCTCTAGGTTCAGATCTTAGCTTCACTACATACCACCCTCCATGGTCTGAGGTAAATTATGTAAACTCTCTGTGCCTTAGTTTTCCCTTCTAAAAAACAGAGATGGTGAGCCCGGCGGATCAGACAAGGCCGGCGGATCAGAAGGTCAGGAGTTTGAGACCTAGCTTGGCCAATATGTCGAAACCCTGTCTCTACTAAGAATACAAAACTTAGCCAGGCGTGGTGGCACGTGCCTGTAGTCCCAGCTACTCAGGAGAATGAGGAAGAAGAATCGCTTGAATCCGGGAGGCGGAGATTGTAGTGAGCCAAGCCAAGCTCATGTCACTGCACTCCAGCCTGGGTGACAGAGTGAGGCTCAGTCTTTAAAAAAAAAAAAAAAAAAAAGCAGAGATGGTAATAATAGTACCTTCCTTTTAGGATTAGGGTAAGGAGTATGTCTATTATATACATAAGCACTTAGAAGACTGTCAGTATACAGTAACCTCTCTTAAATGTTAACTTATCTTTAGTGTTCTCACAAAAAATTCATTCTTTGTTTGCAAGATGTTGCACATGAACCAAAATTCAATGTCCATAAACAGTGAACGGCCAAGTGAACTTTTTCTCTACATATAAAAATACAGCAGAGACCTGGTGTTGGTTTTAAGAGGTAGCCATGCTTAGGTTTCAGAGGATCCCAAAATCTTTGAAGGGTACAAAAATGAGTGTAATAAGTGTGAACGTATATTCTTCTGGAGAGGAAACTAGAGCTTTCAACAGAGTCATAAAGGGATCTGCGACCTTCAAGGATCCAAGCATCATTTGGAATATCATTTCCAAATATGTCCTTTTTGTGCATCTTGATTGCCTCACTATTCTTACATTATATGCTTAAATGCCCTTTTCAGTAAAAACATTTGCACAACTACACCAAGTTAGAATTTTATTAAGCTCCCACTTCTTTAGTTTTGACCTGTAGCTTTCATTTCAGATTCTCATCAATGTATTAGAACAAATTCATTTTCTCATGAATATCAGCTTAAAAATGAATGTTTCTATGAACAGTGCAAATATAGCACTCTTTTTTTTTTATGAGAGTGAGTTTCGCTTTGTTGCCCAGATTGGAGTGCAGTGGTGTGATCTCAGCCCACTGCAGTCTCTGCCTCCTGGGTTCAAGTGATTCTCCTGACTCAGCCTGCCAAGTAGCTGGGATTATAGGCACATGCCACCACGCCTGCCTAGTATTTTTGTATTTTTAGTAGAGATGAGGTTTTGCCATGTTGGCCAGGCTGGTCTCAAACTTCTTACCTCAAGTGATCTGCCTGCCTCAGCCTCCCAAAGTGTTGGGATTGCAGATCTGAGCCACTGCACCCAGTCATAACAGCCTTCTGAATGCTTCTTTCTGTCTGGTCCTGCACTGAACCTGGAATAGCTCTATGCCTACTCGCTAAGAATTCCAGAAAAGCAATTCCAGAAGAGGTCAAGTCACAAACTTTTAGAACAAGTGTAAACAAATACCTCCAAAAATTCAAAGTAAGATTTTAATTCTGCTGTAATGCAGAGAAGTGATTTTTCTTTGTTTATTGATTACCTTTCTCCCCTTCTTCGGACAGGTGGGAGATCATTAATTTTTGCTTCTTAGTAATGTTATTTCCTTCTGCCAATGATTTCAAGTGATACTTATCTGGGTTATACTACAAAACAGCAACGAAAATAACTTTTGTTTAGTTTCAGTTGAGCTTAGTATAGTCTGAGATAGGACTCGGTTCTACACGACTAATAACAAATCAGTCTACAACCTGCAGCCTGCAACATTCCATCCACACGTTTACCTGTGAAGCAGTCAGGTTGGGAGAGGCTGCAGCTGACTGCTGGGGGTGGTGGTGATGGTACTGCTGCTGCTGTTGTAGTTGCTGTAGTGGTTGCTGCTGTGCTGTTTGTAGTTTGTTTTCAGATTGTGGCAATGGCTGTATTTGGAACTTGTCCGGTTGTTCTTGCTTTACTATCAGGTTCTTCCGTAGCTGTTCAACTACTCTTTTCTACCAAATGAAGACAAAAAGAAATAAAAATATATTAGAATACTGCTCTATCAGCTAAACAGAAAATATGCAGCAATTATATTTCTCTGACATCTTTCCTATAACTAGCTTCATCTAAAACTTACTACATCTAAATTTACACGGATTCTACATATGAAGAGCTTAAAGCAATTAATATACATTCTTGCTAATAAGAAACTGATTGTATAAGAAATGTTTTATATATAAAGGGTAACTGAGGCACGCAAATAAAAAACCTGAACAAGATCACATAGCAGAGCTCATATTTTCTGACCATTATTAACTCAGCATGCTGATGGCAGTATAGAATGTAGCAGTAAAAAGCAGGGCTCGGAGTCATCCTACTTCAACTCCAATTTCAGTTTTGCTATTCACAGCTATAAGATGTTGCGTAAGTTTATGAACCTGCCTGTGTCTCACTGTCTTGTTCTTTAAAATGAGGTGGTTAACAGTACCTCTGGGGTTCTTATGTGCACCAAATGACTTGTTTTATGGAAAGAACTCAGAACTGTGATTGGCATATTGTTGGTCATTATTATTATTATTATTATTATTATTTTTAGAGATAGGTTCTCTCTATATTGCCCAGGTTGGAGTACAGTAGCTATTCATAGGTATAGTCATAATGCACTACAGCCTTGCAGTGCATAGTGTACTACTGCTCCTTCCCCAGTCCCCGGAACTCCTGGGATCAAGCAATCTTCTCACTTCAGCCTCCCAAGTAGCTGGGTCTACAAGTGCACACCACTGTGCCCAGCTTAGTATTTTCTACATATGATAACACAGAAACTATCCATAGTAACTTTCATTAAGCAAACATCATATATCTGTCCCAGTTGATAACATTAAACAGATTGTTAAAGAAACCTTGATCCCAGTAATATGTCATATAAACAACAGACATTCTAAGTTACTGAAATGTGCAATTCATGAGCAGGACTTCTTTCCTGGGACAGGATCTGTGGAAGTACACACGTTTGTTTAGACAGAGTAGGGATTTAACTGCATGGAGTGAAAATTTAAGTCAAAGTTCTTCACATTTTCTAGGCCTTGCTCAAATCCAAGAGAAACGTGTTTCTGGATAACTTCATTACTATAATACATTTCAACAGAATGTAAGCCCGATGAGGGCAGGGGCTTATTTTGTTCACAACTATGGTCTGCACTTAGAACTATATTGCTGAGTAAATGTCCTTGTTCTTTTTACATGATGTATAAAGTGGTGGGGCCAAAGATCAGCAAATGGCTCATAAAGCATATAATAACTATTTGGGGCCATATTTGGGCTATGACTCTCCTGCCCTAATGGCAGGAAGAAGGTATAAGCAGCATTCCTCTCCTATCTCACACACTTTCCAGTTAGTTCATTAGCGGAGGTGTGCTATTCCTGATAAAAATAGATTGTGATTTTCTTTTTTCTTTTTTTTTGAGACAGAGTCTTGCTCTATCACCCAGGCTGGAGTACAGTGGCACGATCTTGGTTCTCTCTAACATAGATTATGAATGAAGAAAAACAAATGAACAAGGAGATTTAAATAATTAGGTGAAACCATCAGAGCCAGGTTAATATTCAAATGCCTGCTTATGGCTCTCAACAATTTTTCCTCCCATATTCTCTAAAGAATCTAAATCTGTGGATTACTCATTTAACATATTTGAACATTAAAATATTTACATAATAAATTTCTAAAACCTTTAAGTTAAAAAAAAATGTTTTCTTGAGAGGTTTTATTTATTTTTTGGGTTTTTCTATTTTTATTATGTTTTTTTGAAAAGGGTCTGGCTCTGTCACCCAGGCTGAAGTGCAGCAGCATAATCTTGGCTCACTGCACATCCATGTCCCAGGCTCAAGCGATTCTCCCACTTCAACCTACCAAGTAGCTGGGACTACAAGTGAGTGCCACCACGCCCAGCTAATTTTTTGTGGAGACGGGGTTTTGTCATGTTGCCTAGGCAGGTCTCAAAATCCTGCCCATCCCAGCCTCCCAAAGTGCTGGAATTACAGATGTAAGCCACCATGCCTGGGCGAGAGGTTTTTTAAAAAATATTTTTATTACTGATTCTTTTCAGACAACTAAAATATTATATAAAGGCCAATTTTTGGGGGGAAAATTCTGTTATACACTATACTCTGCTAGCACTGCCTCTCTGAGTAAATATTTTTTTAAAAATGATGCAGAGTTTGAAGTCTTTGCAGAAACCATCTGCAAAATAATAAAAATGCAAATTAATAAAACATCAAATGCTTATAAAAATTAACTTTCAAGTCTTCAAAATTCTATTTCTCAAATATAAAAGGCAGAATAATTGAACTGCTGTAGTTTAGGAGAAGGCAAAGTAATAGCAGTGGTGCTGCAGATAATGCTGAGAATCTCATGTAGGTTTTATTGCTTGGTGACTGCCAGAACATTTAGACATTTAAAAATTAAATAATTATTTAGTGTTGCTTTCAGTCCTCCTCCCTATCAGACATCAAGCATATTAATGAACTAGCTAACGTGCAGCATCAGCAGCCAGAGAAAGAAACCTCAAGAGCTCTTACAAAACAAAAGCAACAACAAAAAACCCAAAACAGATCAAAACAGAGGAAGGAGAAAATCAGGAGGAAATAATACAACATAAACGTGACACCTGCCAAAAAATAAACTTTGAACTAAAAGAGCACAGGAAACTAATTACTATACCAGTCACAAAAGGAAAGGGTGTTTTTTCTCCTCTACAGCCATGCTTAGGAAATACGGTGTGCTCTCCTACTCACTGCCTAACTAAAGTAAACTAGAAGCAAGAAACAAAGCCCAGAACCCGCTCCTAATGTTGTGTACAGCCAAAGGGAACAGTAGGGGAAAGCAGGAGCAAAGGATGCGGGCTAGAGTACTACTCTTCAGCCATATGGCTAGAGCAAGGTGATGACCAATCAGAACCAGAATCAGCAGCGTGGGAGTCAAGTGAGTCACACTGCATTCACAACTGCTCCTCCCCCGGGGCCTGAAACAAAGCCGTGAAAGCTCCGGGTGGAGGCTGGCGGGGAGAACATGATCAAAATACTTGCACACTTACATCAGTCCTTGAGAGGAGAGGGGGGAAAAAAGTAAAAAGAAAGAGAAAGAGCTCTGCATTACAGGTCAGATCATATGAGCTGGGTAAAGTTTTCTTTAAAAGACAGCTTTGTGTAATCCCAGCATTTTGGGAGGCCGAGGCCGGCGGATCACGAGGTCAAATGATCGAGACCATCCTGGCCAACATGGTGAAAACCCGTCTCTACCAAAAAATACAAAAATTAGCTGGGCGTGGTGGCATGTGCCTGTAGTCCCAGCTACTCGGGAGGCTGAGGCAGAATTGCTTGAACCCAGGAGGCGGAGATTCTAGTGAGCCGAGATTGCCCCACTGCACGCCAGCCTAGCGCCTGGCAACAGAGCAAGACTGTCTCAAAAAAAAAAAAAAAAAAAAAAAAAAAGACAGCTTTGATATGTCAAACTGCCACTCAGAAATGAATTGTCCCTTACTCCTTGCTGTGTTCACCAGATTAGAATGCCACATGTGTGGAGTTAGACATGTCTGCGGCTATCTGTGAAAAACATTTTTTACATCAAGGTTTGGAGGAAGCACTGATGCCTCTGTCACTTAAACAAAGATGACTGCACTTAGAAACCAGTAACTGAAAGCCAGGTGGGCTCTGCAGCAGAGGTGCTCCTTAGGTGTGGAGGCCCTGCAGGCTCTACCACGGACTGGCTAGCAAAGGAGAGCTGCTGTGCACATTAGTTGGCTTTTCTAAGTCTCACCATCCAGTCTCGTTCTAGTTGAGTCTTGCAGCTCTGGCAAACACAGAACTCACATGACTTCAGTGGGACCCCGGATCTAGGTCAGTACCACTTCTGGGTGGCAGCAAGAGGTTCTGTCGAAAATATTTCAAAAATCCTAGCTGTGTGGTATCATGCAAAGTTCTCAATGTCAAACTATACAAAGGATATCCTCTCACCTCCACAGGAGATGAGCCTATATTTTTACTACCATGTGTTTTAAACAAAGAAGTCATGACTGGTCATTGATGAAGGTTATAAGGGCATACATGATTTGATATTTCAAAGGTATTCACATATAATGGAGATCTTTAAATGTAGCTAACTATATTGGAACATTATCCTGAAGCTTTGAGAAATGGCTAAATTTCACAAATTGGCCATTCATCGTTCACTGATAAGTTAATGAGAATTAAAAGAGAGGGAAAAAATATCCGGGAAATGAGAAAAGAAAGCTGGAAAGAACAAAGGCGGAAGGGAGAGAGGGAGAAAAAATTAATAACTTATCAACTAATCTTTTCTTCTTAATATATTTCTATAAACAATAAGCCAATGTGCCAGGCCTCCAGAACTGCTAGTCCCGCCCCCTTCAATCCATCTGTCAAGAAATGCTCCATAAACCCAGCATGTAACACAGAGCCTTAGATTCCCCTGACATTCGCATCACTGGGTTTCATCAGGGCTTGTTCAGGCAGAAGAGTTCACAGAGCCTCTGACACTTCAAGTCACAGTTTCCAAGACAGGTAGTCACAGCGATCAATATTTTGACATTCAGCGATACTATCAACGTGTTCACACGACAGCAAGACAGGTCCTGAAGAAAAATACAGACTCTTATAGGTCTAATACAACAGAAAATCAAGTTCATTTTCCACCATCTACGTCAATCGTTCCATGTTCCATGGCTTTTGTCAACATAGAAGGGAGACGGAGAGATGGAAGGACTGCCCCCACTCCAATCAACCCACCACTTTATTTCTATAAAAAATTGCTCCCACTAATTTTAGAAAGCTTCTCCCAAAAGGAACTTCAAGACCCTGTCCTCCACAACTGGATGTCGGTACTTCAAGTCTCTGCTTTTTCACACATTCAGTCACTCAACTGGTTTGTGTTCTATATGGCAGTATCTGTTGCATATCAATTATTAGAGGGCCACACCCACTCAAGACATCTTACACAGTA